ATATTTTACTAATAAAAAAAATAAAAATAATCAATTTTTTCTTTTATATTATTAAAAATCATCTAAAATTTGCTAAAAATTGGATGGCTAATTTGCAAATCAAATAGCTAATTTTCAGGTGATTTGTAGATTGGATGGCAAATTTAGTAATATAATTTGCAAATAAAATTACTATATATTTTAACAAATAAAATAGATATAAATTGATATCCATGTAGGTTAATATATAGTATACTGTATATTATATAATATATATTATAAAGTAGAAATTTATATATGTAATTATATTCTTTAAAGGATATTTGCCAGTATATTATAATAATATTTCATTTGTTACATATTGATCTATACAAATTTAATGATTTGCATCTGCACTTGTAACAGATAAATTTTGTAGATCTCATGACTATGACAATTTAATCAATTTTTTAACTCAAATTGTCAAAAAATTTGCTGATTTTTGATCATTTGACCAGTGTATAATTTAAATAATAATCTCATTGTATTGAATTTGTGCTTAATTCTAATATTGAATTAATATTTTTTAACAATTCTAATTAATAGAATTATTGATTTATTTTATAATTGTAATAAACATATACTTTTATTAATTTTTATACTTCAGATATAAATTATTATTAATAAACTCTTATTAATACTTGCACAGGTCAAATACAAAAGATATGCCATACTGAAATTTTTTTTTTAAAGTTCCAACAAGGCCTTGCCTCAGATTTGTTAATTAAGAAAAGAGAAAGTCTCTTACATTATTATTACATAATATAAAATACACAACTTATCTTAATAGCTATTGTAAAAATGGAACTCAGACTAACTCTACAAAGAGATATGTCTACAACCTACCATCTAGCAGCATTTACCTTAGCATGTTAAGGTCCTGCTGAACAACCATACTAAAAAAAATTTTCAATTTTAGCTAATTTGTAATATAGGATACAATAAGATGAATAATTTTTACTGATTTTTAGCTAATCTATAATATAGGAATTCTAATTTTTAATATAGGAATCACTACATCAGGAAATTTTTGGAAATGAAGATATCTGAATATATTTGTTCACTTATGTATTTATTTGCATAAATTACATTAATCCATATTAATTCACATTTATTTGTATTAATTTATATGTTATACTGAATATATTCATATATATTTGTGAATATATCTGCATATATTTAGTTTTTATCAATTGAAAATATCGGCATATATTTGCAAGTGAAAATTTCCTGATGTATTCAGTACAGTGATTCTTTTGTATTTGACTAGTGTTGTAATCTCTTGATAAATATTCTTAACTCTTAATTCCAATTTCATTAAATTGCTCATTTGAATTTAAGAATTACTTTATCATAGTTAATAATTGTCTTTATAAATTCTAAATTCTTTATTATTAGTTTTATTATTTAAATTATTTCTTGTTCCTTTTAAGTTTAGTTAAGTTTATACTTACAATTCATAAACACATTTCTTCTTGTTAATGGGTTGCTAGTTGTAAACTTCCTTTTGAAATAAAAAATTAATCCAAAAGGTTGATTAGGAACAGTGGTATATAGAATCCACTGTATTTAAGAAGAATTATTATCTAAAGGATTAAAAAAATTTCTTTTAAAGAATTTTTAGAGTTATTGGTAATAGTAATATTAATTAAAATATTTATTATATAAGAATTTTGTTGTTTATTAATTTTTTTGTAAGCTCTAACACCTTTAATGATTCAAATAATTAAAAGAATATCAAAAAGGAATATCAATTTGTATTTATTGTTTAATATCTTGTATAAAATTTTTTTCCTAAATGGTTTGATTTATATCAAATATTAGTTTCTATTCAATTGGGAATTAAATTGTAAATAAAAATTAGAATCTTCACAAATAGAATGTTTTAACAAATATAGATAAAGTTATAATATATATATACCATTGTGAAATCTACATTAATTATTTTTGAAAGTCTACTGAGAAAATTTTAATCCATAATTATTATATTCAAATTGATCAATTTTACAATAGTAATGTTCATCATTATACATTACAAATAGAATTGAATTAAGAAAAAATACTCAGTATAAAAGATTCTCAGATTCTTTACAATTCATTTTTGGATGTTGTAAAATTTGTTGTATTTGATTATTATTTAAAGCTAATAAGTAAGTTACTTCTTCCAATTCATGTTCTTATAACACAGGTCAAATACAAAAGAATTGTCATACTGAAAAGGAATTTCAATTTTGCTGATTTATAATATAGAATGCAATAGGACAGTTGATTTTTACTAATTTTTAGCTGATCTATAATATAAGAATTACCACTTAGTACAGTGATTCTTTTGTATTTAACTAGTGTAAATCTTACATTCTGCCATATAAAACATTAATTAAATCTGAAAATATATATTTGTTATGTAAATTAATATGAGAAATAGGAGAATGAATGCAAAGATAATAGTTAATAGTATCAATTGTTTATTTAATTGAATTAGCTTTATATTCTTTTCCATTATTTCTTTTTATAATTGAAACATATTTAACAAGTTCCTTTTGAAGCTGTTTTGTATCTGATAATTTGAATAATAAAATCAAGTATCTATAATATTTCAAAAATTAAAAATTTTTAAATTCAATTTTTAGTGAATTTTCCAGTATTGAATACTTTAGATTTTTCACAAAAATAATCAACTTTTGTTTATATCCTTTTGATAATCTTTATTTGTAATTTCAGTTTCTATTTAACTTTAATATGCTCATTTAGTAAAAATTCAATTTCCTTTTTTTATTCATAAAGAAATAGAAAAAAGAAAATATAAAAATATTTATAATTTTTTTTGATCAATATATTGATTAATCAAAAGTTTATTTAATATATCAGGAATTTTATAGAGATATTCCAGTATGCTATAAATATGAAACATTTAAATAATGTATTAAAAAGGTCAATTTTAATACACTATAAATACAAAACATTTAAATAATGCACTAGAACATTATGTTCTAGTATGCTATAAATATAAAACATTCAAATAACATACTAAAACAGTGTATTTAGTATGTTATTAATATGAAATGTTTAATGTTGCATTCTAGTATGTCAGTGCCATTCAAATAATGCTATAGAATGGTGTTTGTATAGTGTAGTAGAATACTTTTATTTAATTCCTGATGTAGTCATTAATTAAAAAAATTATGGATGTTAGGTCCCATAAGATATTTTATGGGAATTTCTAATTTTCACAGCAAAAGTCATGAAAATTAATAATATCCCTGGATTCTATTACGTACTTCTGCTTCTGGCTCAGTTTTGGTTCATTAAAATCCAAACTGAAAGATCTCCATTCAGTTTCGGTTCGGTTTCGATTTCTTTATTCAAGCTGAATAGAAAAACTGAAACCAAACTGAAACCAAACTGAAATATTTTTGATTCATGGTTTTTTTGGTACTGGTTTATTTTGTTATTATAAAAGAAATCAGTTAACGTAATACAAGAAAAAAGATAATCAGATTTTAATTTCTATTACAATCGCAAATTAGTTAATTTAATAAACATATTATTTATATATTATTTTATAAATAAATGGATGAATATTTTTATTCAAATCTGATTATCAAAATCTGTATATATTAATGTGAGTGTATGTTATGAACATTTTTATATTTTATAAATCTATTAAAAATAAAATATAATTTTCCTTCTCATTCCTTATTACAAATTATTAAATTATCCAAAAAAAATATTTGATTAATAAAATTTAAAGTCTATTTATCTCACTTTCTTATCCTAAAGAAAATATAAATGTAATTTTTAAGCTTATAAAGATTATCCTTTGTAACAGTGATGTATTGTATTTTATAATAATTCAGTTTATTCTTAATAATTAAGCAAAAAATCTGACAAAAAAAATCGGTGCAAACCGATTCAAATCGTTTCGGTTCCAGTTCGGTTTCGGATTGAAGTTTTTAATTTCAGTTCCAAACTGAACCGGTTCTTAAATTTGGGTTCGGTTTCAGCTCAGCATTAGAACCGAACTGAACGGTTACATTAGGAGCTCTAACTGTATATTAAATAGTAAAAAAGGTATTCTGTGGGAAAGAATTAAACTGAATAATTTTTTTTTAATATTTTTAAATTAAAGAAATAAAAAAATTTTTATTCCTGTTTACGCGTTTTTCCTATTTCTGTAATTATGAATAATCAATCAAACAAGACTTTTTTAGTAACAAAATGAGAAAAACTATTTTATATTGTCTTTATAATATTTATGCCGATATTGCAGTGAATCCGTGGAATGATTTTTATTTATAGTAAAATCCATTGAAATTATTTAGATCTTATAACAAGAATGTCTTTTTAGCGTTTATAAAGATTGGAATGCGTATTTTATTTTTATGACATTACAGTGTACCAAATTTTTTAATTCCGACCAGATTATATATAAAATAAGAAACGCAATTTTATTTCATTTTTTTTTTAATTATTACTTCACGAACGCATCATAAAATGGCGACGATACAAATATGTTACTTATGATAGATTTCAAAAAGATAAGTAATACAAACGTTAGCGATACCAATCGTAATTTAAAAAAGTGACGTAATCAATTAAAACATATAGCGCAATTAGTTGTAACTGGTTGTAACTCCTGCAAATATTTACGACAATTATCTCTAACAAACGTATGATGTTTATAGCAATATTAAATTCTGAGTGAAATCAAACCATTGGGTGTATTTCATCAAAATACATCTTAAGGGAAAGAAATCAATTAATCAGTTTTTAGAAAAAGGAGATCCTAATAAGCAATGGTTTTTTAAACATAGGTATGTACGTTTTCGTAATTATTTATTTGTTATTTTAGTAATGGATATCAAAGGTGGAAACAAGAAATTTTTAAAAATTTCATTTATTGCTTAACAGCGTATTATTATTACAAAATCCGAAGATGAGTCTCGAGTTTAAAGCTTCTTCCCCTTATTATTTGCCTTATCTCATTCCTTATTTTCTTTATTTTCTAAATTTAAGAATTCATCAGTCTCCCTATCTTCCAATGATTTTCCGTGTGAATGCGACGGTTCATTTTGGAGCTAGGGGTGTCAGCTTGCGCTGAAACATTAATAACTTTCTAGTCCAGCTTGATTTCCTGATATCACAATTTAGTTTTACGATGAGCTCGGCCTTTTTGTACCTTAACCTCAGCATTCTCGGCAAAGTGCCTAGAATTCTCTTGTCTCAGCAAATCTAATTCAAAATTTAGAAGTTACACTCATGAAAGAACATTATAATGATTTATTTCCTTGTGATTCATCATGGAAAAGTTATCTAAAATCCCATATTTGCAATTGTGGCGTGGTTGATATTAATCATAAAAGTTTGTAAAAAGTAAAATACTGCCTACCTCTATCTTTATAAAACGTAAAATGTCAATACCATCAACGGAAAAGATCCTTATTTTTAAAAATGACCATGATCGTCATATTAAAAACGATTCTATGATATCCGCAATATTATTAAATATTTACAATTTGGTTAATTTGTCGCTTTTATAAATAAACTTTATAAAACCTTGCGGATTAAGAAATTTAAGGATGTGAGGACACATCACATTAATTAGGTTCTATGAAATTACTTTCATATTGTCAGGAAATAAATAATATTTTTTTTATTACTTTGATTCTAGCTCGAATATGTGGGACAATTTAAGATTAATATTATATAATAGTTATGTTTATGTCTTTAATAAATGTGTACTGATTTTGTAAAATGAGCCGTTTCCGTGACAAAATCGGCATACTTATAAAAAACAAACAGTAGCAATAGATAAATTGACACAAGTACCATATGTAATATTTTCATAGGGCATTAGAATTTGAAAAAAAGATACAGTATACAGTAACATGATTCACTGGAACATAAAAAAAAAAATTCAAACGTAACACTACAGTTTATCACATATTTTTCCTTTTCCTCGATTTAATTTTCATTTCATCACAATTCCTAACTATCCCAATATGTTCTTTCAATGGTTCCAACAGTTCAATGTCGTATTTTCGGTACAACATTGCTAGAGTAGCTTTTAATTCCATCATTGCCAAATTTCTTCCTGGACCTGCAGTAGATAAATGATAGTAAATCAGATATATTTTATTTTATTTTATATACTTTATCTTTATGTTCTTTCGTAATTAAGAAATTACTTGCACTTTCTCAAACTTCCACCAAACATGTAAACTTTATTTTTTCTCTCTGGATTATCCATAAATCTATCGGGATTAAATGTTTCGGGATCTTTCCAAGATTTGTGTTTATGAATTCCATTAATATTTAATCCAAAATAAGTATCCTTGGACCATTTATAACCTCCTATAACTTCTGGTACTGAATTCTTTTTAAAAAGTAATGGGGTGATGGTATTGACTCTTGATGCTGCAATTATAGAATATTTGATATTAAAAGTTAATATTATTGTTATTACCATAGTAATAATAGTAATGATCTGAAATGTAAATTCCCTTCTTTGATAACAGCTTCAACATATTCAAGTTTTGATAAATCTTCTAATGTAATTGAAGAATGTGGATATGAATATAATAAAATTTACCGTATGAATACCAGCACCCAAAACTTCGATAAAATTTTCCTGAACATCTTTATCAGACATTGGTTCATCATGTAGATTGTCCGCGATCCTTTCGGTAATATCTTTTTCAGTGTTCACTGTTAAAAACATCGTCAACATGTCAGATTTTAAATTTTGATCAATTGGTGTTCTAGAAATCTCTTCTCGTTTTGATTTAATAATATTACTATATTATTCCGTAACCAACTAATTCTATCCTTTATGTATTGAGTGTGTTTTTTAATTCCAGGTAAATTTCTTACA